AATGGGATTTCACAGTTGGGGAGAGAGAGAAGGATCAACTGCAAATACAGCATGGGGAAAGTGGGAATTTATAGCCAAGGAGCAGGGTAGCAATGGATAGAAAACTACTAACAGGAAACTTCAGGGGTGAGGGGGGTTCTAGCTAAAGCAACCTAACAGATACTTGCTGAAAACAGGACAGTGTGATCGGACATCACCTGGGGAGTGCTAAAGGATGACGAACCTGATCACACATCCAGAATGATCAGAAATCAAGGGCAAGGCGGGTAGTGGTTCTTGCTAAACTGACTTAGTCGGGTTCTTGCCAAAACGGATTTTACAAGAAGTGCACTGATACACTGATACACATAGAAGAAGGTCCAGCAGCCTGACTGAAGTTTGGTCAAGCAAAGAATCTGTCATTTGCAGCAGACCCGGAGCAGCTCTATGCTTATCTCCAGGGCTTACGGACAAGTCAGGGAGGCAATGTGCTAGCTAGTGATTTATAATGTGCCATTTAAAGTTCCAAACTCCCCCTGGAGGTAGCCAGGCCCAGCTTGCCTATACTGTTTAAAGATGGAGAGATTGATGGTTTGCATGCCATTTAATCAGTTCCACAGCCTGATTTTGGCTACATGACCAGAGTAGTATAAAAGACCCCTTTTATAAACTTGTGCCTGGGCTCCCCTGAAAGTAAGACGCCACACCCTTATCTCACAGGTTTGTAATCTGAAGACAAAGCACATCTGGGATTTGTGTAAAGTTTTCAATCCCCTTTCTTCATCCTGAAGCACTGAAACATTCACCTTTATTAAGGCCTACTTGAGTGAGCCTGAGAGCTGCCTGCGGAGTCTTCAGTCCTTTCAATTATTCAACCCTGTTCATCACTGCACTGCCTCCTCCCCTATCTCTCCCCAACACACACACACACACACACACACACACACACACACTCCCTCCCTCCCTCTAGCACTGCCTCCTCCCCTCTCTCTACACACACACACACACACACACACCCTCCCTCCCTCCCTCCCTCCCTCCCTCTAGTGGTGAATCTGAAAAGAATAAACTGGAGATAGTTCGCTTTGCTCTGCCTTTCTCCCTCTTTGGAAGTCACTGCCTACCCAGTGAGAGGAAATTCCACTATGCTTCTCCAGAAGCAGACTTGCCACTAGGGAGCACTGACATGAATGGCTAACTCGGCCTGATGCTGGCGTTCAGGACTAGTAGGTCCATCAGGCTTTCCTTCTAAGCTAAATCCTCCACCCCAGCCCTTATCAATAATAAAAGTGATATGTGACCTCTTATTTAACTTACCCTTCCATTTCATTTTTAAATCTGTCCACACAGGCAGAGAAAGATGTGATCTCTTCTTTCCCATAACCCTCCTCCACAAGAAGGGTTCATGGCTTTAATCAAATTCTTAGGGGATTCGAGACCCAAAAAGAGTTAAGACCACTATTCTAGAGGCAATGGAAGGAAAAAATAAGCATTTACTAGAATACGGTCACTCCTTTATTGAATTTCATAATTTCCCTATTACTACAAAGAATGCATCTGAGCCATTTTATTACAGACCATCTACCCTGTTTCTCATTAGTGATCACTAGTTTTGATGACCACCTTTCAAAGACATGCAAAGGTCTAACAACTCTTACAAATGCCTGGAAAAGTACCATTTGCCACCAAATCAAGAAGCATTGTAATATACAGCAGACATAACACACATATATAGATCACTAGACTTCTAGTCAAATGACTTGGGTTTGTGCCCCAGCTTGAACCCCTAGAAACTATGTGACGCTGGGCAAGTCAAGGAACTTTCCTGAACTTTAATATTCTTATGCATAAAATGAGGACCACAGACACTGCTCAACAATTAGGTTGTTATAATAATATGATAAATGAGATGAAGGTTATGAAAATGTTTTTGTAAGATGAAAACTATATAAACATAAGGAACTACAGTTGACCCTTGAACAACACAGGACTTAGGGGCACTGACACCCCATGCAGTCAAAAACCCACATATAATTTTTGACTCCCCAAAAACTTAACTACTAACAGCCCACTGTTGACCAGAAGCCTTACCGATAACATAAGTGGTCTATTAACATGTATTTTACACATTATATGTATTGTATACTATATTCTTATAATAAAGTAAGCCAAAGATAATGTTGTCGGGGCGCCTGGGTGGCTCAGTTGGTTAAGCGACTGCCTTCGGCTCAGGTCATGATCCTGGAGTCC